GGGGATTTCGCATTATTAGGTCTGCTGAGACACTTGTAGCTTTATTTTCAGTGAACGATTCGAGCCTGAATCTATAGCTTTACAGAAGAAAAATTTCCGGGCGGCTATCAGTTCGAAAGTTTTTGTTACCCAGCATTGCTAGCTGGCAAGCATATTCTAGAGTTGTCATTTGGACACCAGTTTGAGTAGTCTTCACCACTTGTGGGGTCTCTCTGTAATAATCGCCGCGCGATCGGCATGTGCTTCGCTCGTCTCCCAGGGAGTGACACAATAGAACCAGAAGATTGCGAATCGGTTTACTATACTTCCCAGTTGGCCGTCTTCGAGAGCCGGCACTGCGGCCCGCCGAGCCGAGTTGTCGCCCGTCATTCAGAGCTCGCAGTCGCTGTCCGTGTCCAGGCCTGCGGATCGTCCTCCCCACGCCAGCGCTGCGTAGGCAAGCTGTTCCGGGCTATCACAGCCCGAGTCTCGCTGCGGAACCACTCCGGGATCGTCATGGCCTAGGTCGGTGTGGCCAGGGCTCGCCGTTTCCGCCGGTCCTGATGTGAACCTCGCTGGCGGAACGCTCCAGGAGTCGCCATGAGCCAGACCAGCAAGAACGGCTCCATCGTTCCATCGCGGCCCCAGCCTGGTGCGGCACGCTCTTCCTCTTTCCTCGCGCTCGCCCCCGGCTAGAAAATGTGAGTAATTAGAAACATACTCTGCATGCTACAGAACAGTATGCACGTTACAATGGCTGCACCGTGATATGCAAGCCTGGTGTGAAAAGGTGACAGGCAACAAAGTGCACATGTGAGAAGGATATTTACGCTTCACTTGAGCTTTTTCTAAAGAAAAACTTACGCATCCTGTTTTCTGCATGCCGTCACATTTGTTACCAGATTCAGCGTTAAATTTTGTTGCCGAAACAAACAAAGCTTTATGTGCTGCGAAAATATACTATTTGAGAACTCGCAGGTTTGGAAGGTTTTGGTGACGACCGCGCGTGTGCCAAACGGCTATGCGCACATACAACTACGACTGCCGGGACGGGCCTCTCGCTTCTTGAAGGCTTGATCGCCTGATTCTGGACGTCACAGCGAAGCAGCAATCGGCCCAATTGTTCCTATTGTATTTCCCTATGTGGTGTCTATAGTCTGTTGCAACCTAAGAACGAAGGGCGAGGGTAAGACGGGCCGGGGAGGAGGAAGCAGGCGGAATGCTAAAGAGAGAAGGAGGTTTTCCCCTCCCTTCTCCAGCATTCCGTTTTCTTCCTCCTCCCCGACCCGTCTTACCGTCGCCCTTCGTTCTTAGTTTGCAACGGACTATAGTGACTCGTAGAACAACTTGTATAAAATTGTTATTTTGCTGAGTAGTCTGCAAAACAAGTTCGTCAGACCATTTTCCAAGCCTGCACATGTATTTTCATTCACTTCAACAGCAACAATTACTGTAGAATTTACTTACCTGATGCATCACACTGCAGTGATCCACTTCTGTTGCCGTGTCAATTCCGAAGATCTCGAGGGGAAGCGGTATAGTTTGACGCTTGAGTCGCCTTCGTGACTGTGACAGTCTTTCACGCAGCAGTAGCGACATTTATATTTTGGGGGAACCCTATCGAACCCCAGCGGGTTCCTGTGGCATCTCACCTACTCCTATAGGAGTAGGCAAGATGCTACAGAAACCCGCTGGGTTCATGGAGACGTGAAGCCGGGACTTACTTTTAAGAAGAACGGTTCCCAAAAAAGGCTGACGCCGATCCAAAATGCCACATTCACCCTTGGTTTCTAAATGCACCCGCCTACAGTCTTTGCGATCCGGGCTGTCCTGGCCTACCCAGTCTTTTATTTTGCAGCCGCTAGATGGCGCAATACGTAGTGACAAATTGCATTGCCGGTTAATATTTGGGACATTTAAAGTGAGGGGAGTGGGTGGAGTGGAAATTAGAGATTTGTATTATCGAGATTCTGCCGAGTTTGCCTGCCTCCCCCCCCCCCCTCGCACAGACACAAACAGTGTCGTTGCCCAAGACGCCTCCGACTGTACGTTGCAAATCTTAATTTCTTTTTCATGTGTATAAAAGCCAATATTAATTTACTGACAGGATGACTGTGCTCGTGGGCCCAAATCTAATTATGTATTTGCAATCTGAACTGCTGATAATGTAGTTGCAGGTAGTGACAATCTCAATTTAGAGGAGCAAGTCAATTGATTGTTCAGGAGATGCTCTGCCCAGTACTGTTATTCACATGCTTCAGGCCCTTCTACCGTTAAGAAAATAGTGTTTCACCCTCTTTGCACACAGGAGCGGAGGGATCAAAAGTCGCTTTTTTAGGGGCAGGACACCACTGTCATACTACTATAGCCAGACTTTTAAGTCAACAAATGGTTGATGACAGAACAAGAAGACATCATTTCATGACTTCTTTATGCAGCGTAGCTCGATAGTCATTGCTTACCTGACAGGCGAGTAGTTGTAATAACGAGAGTTGGTAAGGTTGCCAATACCCCACATCAATAAATACTATCTTAAAGGCGTGATTTCAAAAGGTAGTGTTCATTTCTTTAATGCATAAAGCAGCCTGGCTGTGGCAACATCATAAGCAACAATAACACCTTAATGGTAGTGACCGCAGCCCTTGTGTCACCTTACTAAAAGTACCGCAAGAAAGAGCTGACATTACCTCTACAGGTTTGCATCGTCATAAATCAAGTTAAAGCGTTTTGCTAATGGTCTGAAAATCCTAAAACAAGTGAAAATGATTTACTGGTGGAGTGAAATTACGAAACATTTGAGGGCATGCATTGCTGAAATCTCACCGTATTAGCAACTGTAGCATACATTTTGTTTGGGAATATGCATGCTTCCTGCTATTATTACAACAAAGAAATGGGGTTCAATGTTTTGACTAAGATAGCTCCTGAGCATAGGGCTAGATTGATGTTGTGAAGGAATATTGTGCTTTATACTGCATTGCACGTCATTTTGAATATGTTGTGCGGCTATCTTTTTCTTTATTACTGCTACAGTATGTCCTAGCGTATAAACAAATCAAGACCTTGATGTTACTCGTCGTTCTAACCTTTAATTTGCTATCCCAGGTGCTGCAGTGGCTGCTCCACCTGGTGAGGCCGTGGCCTCCTCTTGGCCACCTCTCTTTGCTGTCCAAGATGGTGAGGTACGTATCTGGGCCTACAAGACATTTTGTCTATTGTTTTCACTTCAATGACTTGTTCAGGAGAACAGACTAATGTCAGAAAAAACAAGGACACAAACAGGCAGGACACAAAAAGGCAAACACAGGTACTGACTTAAAGGTGCACTAAAGATGTTTCTCAGATTGTTTGTTCTTGGTGATAACTCATTCGACAGGCTCTAAGCATCCTAAATATTCAAAAAATTATGCTCGTTCCATTTCTATTTTCCTTCTAAAAGATAAAAATAAAAGAACATACTTAAGTCTTGCCATAGGACGAGCAGGTGAACTATCTTTGAAAAAGTGCCCTACTGAAAAAAAACCATATGAATTTTCCATACGGGTCTTCATATAGCGTTATGGGATACTGGTCATACGGTTGGTACGGGTCATATGGTTCGTAGGTTTCATATGGTTCATACGGTTGGTACGGGTCATATGGTTCGTACGGGTCATATGGTTCATACGGTTGGTACGGGTCATATGGTTGATACGGGTTGGTACGGTTTGTATGGACCATACGGTTTGTATGGTCCATACGGTTTGTATGGCCTATGGTTGTTATGGATGATATTGTTCATGCAGTTTAAATCGTTGATATGATCTATAGGCCAACGCACTATTTACCAACAAGCTTTCACGAGGTGTGAACAAATTCAGTTTCTACACGAGGTGCTAGCACTGCGTGTGCACAAGAACGACATTCACGTGACGTAAAGCGTCTGCACATACGCCCTAACAGTAGCAGCGCCACCGTAGCAACGTGACGTCAGAGCCGCGTATTGGTGTATATCGATCGTATTAACCACATGGTTCACTCATCAGTGAAACATGAAGTTCAGCAGGGAAACACTTTCCTTTTAAAGCCTATGCAAGATAGCAGAAAGTGCATGCACAGAGAAATGCTCGAACTTCGAGAAATTGTGAACATGCATTCCACCCGCAGGCTCGTTTATTTGTCCTCCAGTCTCAGGCTTTGAAGTAGCTCGTGCATGCTAATGAGGCAATTCTTTAAAGTGAGCTGCATCTGCTTTCCCAGTTGGTCACAGGCTGACGCACCTCCGACGGGCATCTGAAAGTAATGTAAACAAAACCGACAGTCACATTACATGTTCTCGTAAAATAGTTTGTACAATATCTATCTAGTCAGTAAACCCTTTTCAAAAGTCTATCAAGCAACAATGGCTGTCAGTACTGCTTGCTCACGAAGTGCGTGACTGGATCTGAGTTCTCGCTGAACGCTGACGCAGGGCTCGCTTTCAGTATATGCTCAGAGTATGAGAAAAGCAATGGCGGACAGGCGTTCGCACTGACGTTGGAAAAGGGTCTATTGACTTAAATTTTATGACTGACCTAATATTTAAAATCATCTACCTTCTGCAACTTTCACATTTTGAAAACAATCACAAACATTTATCAAGGCAATACATCACCGCATGACGGAAAATACATAACATACAACTTTCGTCAACTTACATAGCATACAACTTTCGTCACCACGGGACGTCTCTGCATTCTCCCGGGACGCAGACCTCCCACGTGGTCACACCCCGGTCCAAGCATCCCTCTCGTCCCGTTTCCCCGAAGAACGCAGGAACAGGCAGCTGTCCCGATCATACGCCGAGACCCAAACTTCTCCACTTGTCTCCATCGTTCGTTAGCACCCGGTCCGAAGGCCGAGGAAGCGGGCCTCTGTTTCTCAGCGGGGTGTCAGGGGGGTCAGCTCCCGCTGTGCCGGGTGGCCCGCTCGGCGTCGCTAAGAAGCTGCACCCCACCCACGCCGCGTCGGTCAGCATGTTCGGCGGCGCCAGAATGCCGAGCCCGAGACTCTGGTCAGTCGATGGGAGGTCGATGGCGCTGCCAGGAAGCCGAACCTGCTCTCTGGGTGGCCGATCGTAACAGAATGCATCCACCAGGTGCACAATGAAAGTCGTTTATTTAGCCTTAAAATTAGTTTTCTTGTGCTTTTCAACGGAAGACTGGTGATTTTGAGGTTAGGGCGCAACATGCAACACATTAAAGCTAGAAAATGAGCGCTGAAATTTCGTTTCCCTACACCTTTAATGGAAGTGTAGCCACATAATCTTAGTATAGTATAAATAATAAATTATTCTATGCATGGACAGGAACGTTTAGTTAAGTAAGTCATCCCTGCAGTCCATTAAGCACAAAATTTTAGTTTAGACTAGACAAATGTAAGCCAGAAACACTCAAATCCTGGAATTCATAAGGAAATAACTTTATTTGTGCTTACTGCAGACTTAATTTTCACGGGCTCCATATTTCGCAATTAAGGTCGAAGCTGAAGTTTTGAAATAATTCGCGGGTTCTAATTTTCGCGATGCAGTGGGATCTCCATATAGATTCCAATGTGTTTACACTTTACCGGAATTGTTTACGTGACCTACTTTTTCAGCAATTGTAGCCGATTCGCAAAAACGATTCGACAGCAATCTCAACCAAGCGATTCGACAGCGACCTCAACCATGGGGTTGCTGTCACGTGCCTTGCTTCGACGCTCTTATTGGGTCGGGAAGGCCGCAGCCTCCACAGCTCGTCAAGTTATCGTGAAACACAGAGTATAGTTGCTGCACTCGGAGTAAGGGTAAAGGATCGCAAACTCAACATGCCCAGCACCTGGAAGAAGGCATAGGACATACACCTCGAGGTTAAAGGGATACTGAACTGAAATTGTGAACTCGCAAAACAAGGCTGGACAGATAGGCGGGACGTTGCAAAACCCAAGAACATCACTCATACAGCGATATCTCTAACGGATCGCCATATTTTTAGAAAAGAAGTGCCCGGCCGAGGAGGCCGACGAGACAAGGCACGTCACGATTCTCATTCCGTCTCCTCCTCGCTACGTCCCGTGTCAAGCTGGTGAACCGAAGCGAGGAGGAGAGAAGCGAGGCCGCTTCCCCTCATTCTCAAATTCTCCCGGAGGACAGTGATGTCAAAGACCTCGCTTGATCGTGCCCTTCTTTTCCAAAAGTGCAGCGATCTGTTTGAGACATCGATGTACGAGTAATGTTTTGGAGTTCGTAGAGTCCTGTTCAACGCCTCTAGAGCCTTATTTCGCGAAATTCAAATTTCGGTTCAGTATTTCTTTAACAAGCCACACGCCAGATAAGGTACTCCATCTGTGTTTAATGGTTCCAGAAATCTATCGATACCCTTGCACCAGCGGAGTTGAATCGTTCATTATGAAAAGCAAACCAACAAAACTGCATGATGTTTGGCAAAAATAGGTTACAGCCTGTGCTTTTGATTTGGAACTTCAGAAAGATGAGCTCAATTCTCTGGAAATTAGAAACTATGTATATTCTGAAAGAATTACTGCTCTGCATATCAAGGTTGTCTCGTTAAAATAAAAAAATAAATACCAGAAAAAAGTACTAACCTGATATGCACCTATGAAGTCTTGTTTTGGCTAGCAGTGACCGGCCCTGGTTAGCAATGACTCCATGTCCCCAGGATTGAAATGATGGTTAAGTAACGTCCACCCCTTATGCACTTTTTGGTACAACTGGAAGAGACAAAGCATCTTGTTAAAAATTACCAATCCTTTTCACGAGCGAATTTTGCAGTTCATGATTCCTGAAAGTCATTTCCCACAATAGTGTTAAATTAGAACAATGAGAGCAAAGTTGTTTCAGTAAAGGGCCCCTGAAAAGAAAAAAAAATGTCTTTCTTAAACAGACTTGTTGGGACACACGTGTCAAATAATTAATTTTACGTGAAAAAAAAATTGGTCAGAGCAATATTGACGGCGCGAGACACAATTTAGTCGGTAGTCACCTCCTTTCCACCTGTTTCCTCCGGGCACTTTGAGCGAGTAGAGGAGAGGGAGATCAGCTTCGCCTTCGTGTTGAGGTGGCGAGAGCGAATGACCATTCCGGGACGTCATGGACTTTGCGCGCAGAATTTAAAATAAATCTCTTGCCGTCAATATTGCTCTAAAAATTAATTATTTTCGCATAAAATTTATTTTTTGGCACGAGTGTCCTTATCAGACTGTTGAAAAAACTTTTTTTTTTTCCAGGGGCCCTTTAAGAGGTGTTTGCCTGATATGCATCAGTGGAATCAGGTATTGACTAGCAATTACTTATTGCCCCCGTGACTGAAGTGCTGTTTCAATAAAGTGCCGTTCACACTCTTGTGACCGAGTAAGACCGAGAGAGACCAGACCGGTTTTTAAGCCTTTTGCGAGTTCTTAGGACGGGATGCGCCAGAACGCAGCTGGTCCTAAGAGATTGCAAGTGGCTTGAAAACCGGTCTCGTCTCTCATGGTCGTACTCGGTTGCAAGAGTGTGAACGGGCCTTAATGCTTCCTGCACAAAAAATTCAAATGTAAGAACACAAGCCCCAAAATGTTTGTGCCATTCTCCTCCCCCTACTTTTCTGTGCATTTTTTTTTATCCCTTGGCAAATCCTAAAGAATTCAAAATGCTTATCCTACATCCTTCCGTTAGACTGAGTGGGTAACCCGGAGAATTCATTGTTTGTGAGAACACTTTTCCATTCACCCCATGCTGTTCTTGAAAGCAGAAACTCCTCTCTCTTAACCACAGTCATTAAGCACTTTTCATAGACCATGCACACAAGGTTGGCAATGCCAGCACAAGCTCATGTCTTCACTTTGAGCATGGATTAAGCATATATAACTAAATCTGAGACACCGGAAGAAGGAAAAAGGAGGACACAAAAAAGAGGACGACACATAATGTCTCGAACACAGCTGCAGGTTAATTCTAAAACCACACCATTTTATAGGGGTAAACCGCAGTCAATGCCAAGAACCCTCACACTAAGTCACACCCCCAGATTGTCAGCAAGGGGGAAAAAAGAACTGCCCTCAACGTTCCCACACTGGCCAAAGTCAACCCACCGACTAAGAAGTAAAAAAAAAATGCAGCTGTGGTTGAGACGTGTTGTGTTTGATGTTCTCTTTTTCGCGTCCTTCTTCCGGTGTCTCAGGTTAAGTTATGTATGCAATTCACCACCCTTGCCCGTACTTTTACTCTTCTCTCAATTAAGCATACGCCTGCATTTCGTAATATCTGATCTATGGAAAGTCTCTGATCCACCAAGCCTTTTCCATTATGAGCAGGCATTATTTATAAAAACCTCCTTTCATTACATTGTTTTAGAGAACAATTGTTCTTTCTTAATTAGGATCAACTGATCATATTAGGATAATTGCCAAATAATGGCAAATTCACATGATACATCGAATTGCAATTTTCATCCGTGCACCATTTGTCAAGTTACCATCATGTAGGCTATTCCTGAGATTTGTCCCTCGTCCGCGGACACTCACACTGAAAGGGCAGAGTGCCTTCTTAATCGCAGATTTTTGGCAAGTGAGTTACTCGAAAAGCGTTTTTATGGTAGAGTAGCAACAGCTCACGAATATTTTTGTTTGCAAATCAGTCAAACAAAGAGAGTGGATCATTGCTTTGTCGCGCCACTCTTAAATCTCCACGCGTGAAAGAAGCTGCAAGAACTTTGCCCAGCTGACACGCCACAGGTCCTGGTACTCCTCCGGGTTGGTGTCAAAAAGCTTGTCAAAACTCGCCTAGCATGCTGCAATCTTTCCTGCAGATCCACCCAGTTTTCCATCCAGCAAGACCTTTCTTATGGCTTGTGCTGAAGAGTGGTGCACAAGCGAGCAGTGTGTAAAGGTATTTCCAAATGCCTCTCCGCGACCCCAGGACTTCATCGCTATGATGCTGAAGCCTCCTGAAGCAGGATCATACTTGTGTCATGTCGTTAGTAAAGTAAGTGACACTTCGCTCTAAGCCTGCCACTATGTTTTAGCCCACTTGGTATGTAACAGCGGCACACAACGATTCCTTTTCATGATAGCACCGTGATCCTAGTCGCAAACATCACTTCTGCTCTTGGAAAACAGTGCCACACTGCGATGTAGGCGTTTTGCAAAATTGCAAGGCTGCGAATAGGTATAGTATGTCCTCGCTGTCGCCTGCTCGTCTCCTTAGTGTGGATGCGCTTGGGGGACTAACGTTCCATGGACGTCTTGTCACTTGATAAACCCATCCGCGGATTAGCACGTCGTGTAAATCAGCCATAGATGGACTGCGGAGTCTGCAATCACTTACATTTTTCTTGCGTTGCCTGCACGTCATGAAAATGTGTTTCGTATCCAATTAGATATTCTCGAAGAAACAAGGAAACTGCATAATGATGTCGCACAATATTCACCTTAACCACTTTAACCGGTTTTTGTTTTACAGTTTTTCATCCTAAATTTTTTTTACCCTTTTCTAAAGCTTGTGCGGCTTGGGCCGCACGTGACTCCACAATCGGTCGCCATCCTTAAAAACGTGTACAATAAAATATGCGTGCTGCCATCTCTCAGCAGCACCGCAAACTATGCTCGGAGCGGGCCTGGGACGTCCAAAACAGCCAAGGGGCAAGGTAGAATGCGTGGACGTGCTACATTCGTCCTAAATGCCTAGGGAACGGCTCTAGGTGGAAGAGCTAGGCTTGCTTAAAACAGTTAAAGGACACATGCAAAGAAAGCAAAATTTTTTTTTAAACAGCCGGAGTAGGAAAAGGAAGTCATAAAACAAATTTACAACGAAAAAGAAAATTTTTAGAGCTATATTTACGGCGCTAAACGAATTTGTAGTTGGCGCCCGCGGCCACCGCGGAGAAGTGGCCCTTATTTATCACGTGATTGGCCGCTATTTGTCACATGGTACCGTAAAATACCGAGCAAGCGCCCACTCAAACTTTAGAGATAATCGTGAAAAAATCGGGGATGGGCCCTTCTTCGCTCATCAATTTTACATATAAATGTACTTTGTGTATTTTCTCAGATCCTACAAATTTGGGAATGGGCGCTTAGTGTGGTGTGGGCGGATGCACAGTATTCTACAATACTTGCACTCTTTCGGATGCTTCGTATGGTCTCGAAAAGTTACTTATTCATCTTAGTTTGAAGTGCAACAAAAAACAAAGATTAATAAGTTACTTTTAGAGCCCAAAGGAAGCTCCTGAAAAAGCGCAAGCAGACGTGATAAACCTGTGCACCGGTAAGATGACGGAGGCGGCACCCCAGAGCACACAAACTTGCACGACGACGGCGGCGCCGCCGTGGAGAAATGCATTGGAGCGGCAGTGCACAGTGCTCAGCATGCGGCGGCAGCGGGTCTCCGCGGCTTCGGCGACACAGCGCGGCGGTGCACAGGTCTAACACGTGACCAGCGACGGCTCTCACGGGCGCCAACTACATATTCGTTTTGCGCCATAAATATAGCTCTAAAAATTGTATTTTTTCGTTGTAAATTTGTTCTAAAGCAATCTTTTTTCATCAAGGCTGTTTTAAAAAAAAAACAATGTTTTTTTTCCTTTGCATGTGTTTTTTAAGGGTTTAAGGAGCTGCAGTACCTTCCATGTCATTGAATCTTATGTAGTAGTATATGATTCTAAGTCACAAGACTAGGTTACAGAAAGTAACAAGAAAAAGGAAGACAGGACGTCATATTGTTTCATATTCTAATTTTTTCATCAGTCCCGTATTAAAAGGTTTTCATAATAAAACTTGCACTTGTATTTTATCTACACTTCTCTTTCTCACAACGTCCTGTCTACCAAATGGACCAGCGAAGTAAACTCCCCCCCCCCCACACATACACACAATGCACAATTGAAATTTCTGGACACAATATTCCATGAATGTATTGGGCATCTGAACCAAGCTGAAGAAAAATTTTTGGTCTTAGGAAATAAAGGGTTACAAAACTGAAAAACATGGCAGTAGCATACTTCTCACTTTAGCACGTGTAGAAGAACCATTCATTTCTATTAGAAAGGTAGAAAAGCCAAAGGCTCAGGTTACTCACCGACAGCAACTACCAGGAAAGCAGGGGGGCATGATTGTGGAGGCAGCTGGTCTCCAATGCTTGTGCCTTTCTGAAAATTGAAAGTAAGACTTTTAAAGCAAAATGACCCCAACTATTGCCACAAAACATTCTTTCATTCCATTTCTCGTATCAAAAAAGTTGGTATGAGGAACTTTGCCGGGCTGACACGGTGCAGATTCTGGTATTCATCTGCGTCAAAAAGCTCCTGTCAAATCGTGTCTAGAACGACGGAAGCGCTTTGCATCTCCAATGAACCGTTCAGCCAGCAAGACCTTTCTTGTAGGGGTGTGACAAACCAGCCGACGTTCGAGTTTGACCAGGTTCGACTTTTTCCAACTTCTTGCGAAAAGTTAGAAAAATGTTCGACTGCTGTTCGCACGCGCGACATGCTGGCCAGTTGGCTTCGGATTGGATGGTGATGGCTAAGGGATGAATTAAGGGCAGCACCCTATTGGTTATTCCAGTTAATACAGTACAAAAAAGTAAGTTATTAACTTGTTCAGTAGTTAGAGTTAGTTTCTTTTATTTGCAACTGTTTATAACATTAAAATAACCTTTTGAGTGAAACACAATTTTTGTAGACCTAGACATGCTTGTATCATGGTCTTGCCACGCTGTCCACAAAGTCGAACAAGTCAAATCTGGTTAAAAGTTTCGAAGGTTTGTCGAAACGGTTTGACACAGTCGAACCCCAAATGCTCGACCTAAAAATCCGGTTTGCCAAAAGTTCGCGGCACCCCTACTTTCTTGTGGCTGTGGTGTATTGAAGGCGCAAGCACGGAGTGAGTGAAGGCGTCTCCAAATGCCCCGTGGCGAGCCCAGGACTTCGTCGCTTCTACACCAAAGTCTCCTCGAGTAGGACAACGCTTGTGTTTTTATCATGACTTTGTTTAGTAAAGCTAATGGTGCTTCGCACTAAGCCTATCATTGTGTTAAGTCTCCCTCTGCACGTAACAGTGGCGCAGAGTTCTTTTTTAAAAGTAGAAAATGTTGATTTCGATTTGTGACAACTGTGTCACAGTGTGATCGCACAATGTTAGAGTTTCTCAGCAGTGTGGGGCCGCGAACATGTTTGGTACGTCCTGCCTCTCGTTTGTCAGTGTGCTCCTTTGTGTGGATCAGTTCGTCGTATGAATCAGCCATCAATGAAGAGTGCTGTTCATTTTGAACTTGATATAAATTAACTGAGCAGCACCATTTTGTAGGATGGCTAACCCGCCTAAAACCCCCTGATGTGTTTGTGTTAGTTTTGGAACTGGTGTGTAAGTGCCAGTGCACGAGGCCCATGCAGCACTTGTAAGCAAATGGCAATATAGCCCTGAAAGGCAAGGTACTTAGAAGTGAATTCTTTGCAGCTCGGCATAAAGCTATCTCGCCTCTGCCTCCTTCATAAAGTCGACTATCATTGCCCCGACCTCAAGAACTCTTTGTTATCACCTACGGAATGAACATCATCTTGTATTTCCAGTTCCACAAACGCATTCAATCAGTCTTTCCTTTCTCAAGCCATCTGCGACTGGAACAGCCTACCATCCACCATCGTAATCCCAGAAGTATTTCTAGCAAGCTTACGGATTCATTTTTCTTCTTAAAAGTATTTTATTGCCACTGTGTATGATTAATGAGCTTCCTTTTCTTGTTTGTCTTTATTTGTATAACAATGGCACGTAAGTGCCAGTGCACGAGTTGCACACTGCACGAATCCTGACCATGCCCTTAAGGTGAAAATAAATTAAATGAAATGATTGGCAACACAGCACTCACTCGTGGCACGTCTCTCTCGCATTCGCACAATAAAGGCTGAAACGCATGTAAGCGGTTTAGCAAGCAACGAGACGAGCAACTGAGACTTGTCACTGTAGCTCGGTTTTTGGATTTCTAGAAAATGTCGCCCAATTACTTGACTGCTTGCTCCCGTCGCTTTCAAGCGATTACCTTGTCGCGAGACTGACTGAGTGATAGCAAAATGGTTGCCATTGCTTGTCTCTTCGCTCGCTCAATCGCTTACACGTAATTTATACTTTTTGGCTGTTGGTGCTTGCAAAATGTAAAGCGTGAATTTTATCAAAGGCTTTGTTCTCGCTGACTCTCAGACTGCTGCGAAAACTTTGGGTTCCAGTGAAATAAGACCACGTGATTTCTTACTTTGCTTATGAACTGAGGAGGAAAGCTGGGGAGGCAGTAGCTTGAAAATCAGCTCATGGTCTCCTCAAGTTGTTTGGAACACCTTTTTTTCTGTTTTCTTTGGCACTACCCTACTGAAAAAAAACATTTGAAATTCAAACGGGTGGCAAACTGGTCGCCCGTTTGAATCAAACCTGTCGATCCGTTTGGATCAAACGTGATTATGGGATACGGGTACCCGTTTGGAAACGGTACCCGTTCGAAACGGTACCCGTTTGATACAGGTGCCCGTTTGATACGGGTGCCGTATGGTACGAGTACCCGTTCGACATGGCACGTGACCACACGTTTGAACGTGCACTTCGAAATGGCAAATTATGCGCTAGCCCTAAATGGGTATCGTCTGGGAGGTTGGTTATCTTAAACATATTTAATACGTCCCGAAACTCATAAACGTATTTATAACATGGAGAAAACACGTAGAACAAATGCACTCGCGTAGGTGCTTGTAAGTGGACAGGAAAACCGACACAAAAGATTGTTTTCAATTCTCCTCGAAGTTTATTACCTCTTCTGTAGACAAGTACAAACGTGCAAGCGATCTGTGAACACTATACAGGTAGACTTTCGGGGAAATTATTCTCCTGGCTGCCGCACGAGTAATTCTTTAGATAATTTAGAAGAGTACGCGTAGAAGAACGGTCAATCGTTGCCAACACGTAGGTTGCAGTGCACTTACCATAACAATAGCGGACTTGAAAGAGGTAATCCGTGATATTTGTCGACACGGTCAAAGCAGGACAACCACACAAACACAAACGAGAGGGAACGGCTCCTTGGAAGTTTCAACACGATGCGGCGCACAAGCTGTCATTTGCCGAACCCAACCAAACCCCGAGATTTTGCGACTTCTTTGAAGAATCGCTCGTTGCCGACATACACGTGGGTCTTTTCGAACACTGATAGCTTTGGTGCGCATCCAATACGTTGTCGAGAGACATCCCAATAAGACCGCAGGGTTAGGCGACAGATTGAAGCAGGTAGGACGAGCGAACTTCGAGCAGCAACTGACAACAAGCAGACAAAGAAAAAAGCGGCTGCAAGGCGCGCCCTTCCGGATCTCGATGCTTATCAGCGTGTAGCTCGCGCGCTGCTGTGGGTCACGTGACAGGGGTGACAAGAGAGGAGGGAGGGAGCGAGGTCAAGGCGCTGGGACCACCGGGACAGCCCCTCTCCCTCTCCCCAGGCGTCCCAGGGAGATGCGTTTTTGTAGTCCCGAAGAACAAACGCGCGCGCGCGCGCGCCCTCAAACTTTGGAAATGGCGGCGGGGCTGCCAGAAGCTCGGCTTGCGCCCGAGCGAAGAAAGAACTCAGCGCAAGCTCGTAGTTTGAGTGCTGCAACGGCGGGCGTGCTCTCGCAATGCTCGATGTTCTTGCAGCCGCGTGTACGCGTGCTACCTTCGCTGCGTCTTGAATTAAAGTGAAACGGAGTCTAGACGTACATTCTTTCACGCGGTCGCGTCGTCTGCGAGAGAGATTCACACTGAATAAGTAAATTGAGGCAACAAAGATGGACAAAGTATTAAAGGTCTGTCAAAAATATCGGCTCACCAACGTCGCGCGTTTACGTAAAACAAAAAAAAAGGTGTTAGTTTTAGTTGCAGTATAATCGAAAATCAGCGCAACTGAAGTATAAATATAATTACTTGCATTACGCGGACGATCTGAAATCGATGAACCGGCGCTCCCAGCCTTCCGGAAAACATTGGCTGCCACGGCTGAAACGCTAGGCGTGCCCGCGCCGCCGATCTGTACGTTCAATATCAAACGGGCTCCGGAGAGCCGTTTGATTAAACCGGTGCAGTTTGCAACATGGTCGCCGGTTTGAGCAGACGTGCGACAACTTTGCCCAAACGAGTCGCCCATTTGCCCAGACGAGCGGCCCGTTTGCCAAATAGGTGACCGTTATGGCTCATACGGGGGACCCCTTTGAGCCATACGGGCGACCCCTTTGACAAACTGGTGACCAGTATGGTTAAACGGTTACCGCTATGGACCCGTTTATTTTCATATGGGCGCCAAATGGTTTTTTTCAGTAGGGTACTCAATGCGCGTTTTTTTTCTCCCGACCTTCACAATAAAGTATTGCCAGAGGGTTAGTAAATGAGCGCTACATATACAGCACTTTGTATAAAAAGTCCGTGCCACAGTCGAAAAATAACTCCTTATACTTTTCGCAAGCAACGTCACCAATACAGACGGTACTTCCAAAGGCGCAGGTCACGCAATATTTCGAGTAGTTTCCCAGGACGAAAATCGAACTTGGATCCGACCTCCCACAGTGGAAACAAACGGGGTGCAAATACGAGCGCTAGGACGCAAACTGGTACCTTCAGCAATCATGGGTTCCGCAAAACACACCGCCTAGCTAGGTGGTACCAAGCCGCCACCCGATTTGCAGGACTCAAGCCTTGAACACCGATCTAAGAGATAAAGCTCCCCGATCACTCACCAAGCGCCTCGCTCGGCGCCCCACGCCCCCGTGGGAACTTGCCTCTGGGTCCGTTCCCGCCATTTGACTGAAAGCTCAGTGACAGGTCGGTTCCGGTACTTGGAAAAAGCTTGAGGGTCATCCAATGCGCAAAGAATGTGTGCGACAAGGAACCGCACACGTCCGCTTTCACGCTGCCTGCACACACAAGAACACGCCATACACGCTACGAAAAGAAAGGGCTGGAAAAGTACTAACCAAGTCGACCGAAACCCACAGCTGGCTCTATGGGCACGCCGGCACCTGGGACACTTTGTTTCTTCAAGAACGTTCTTCGATGTTTTTCCGTAAGCCTGAAACCGCCCGAAATACGGTGGCCCGAGAGTTTGCAGCTTGGTTTGTTTTTGATTTTGGTGACGATGGC